GTTCCACATGAAATAGCTGCTATTCTTAAATCTATTCTAATCCAACATCTATTTTCAAAGCAGATTGACTTCTTATGAAGCTGTGTTGTTGGGTGCCCCAAGCATTCAAATACATGTTGTTAAAACTTTAAATCCTGCTACTCTTCTTCTTGAAGAAGAAGGAGTACTGCATGATTGTTTTGATTTGACAGATCAACTCCTGATCCCAAGAATAGATCTCAAAGAAACTCCTTTGGATAATCCTTCTCTAGTTTTATTTGTTTTTTGTTGCTGGTAAGTGCCATTAAGTCAGTTCCGACTCATATCCAGGGTTTCAGAGAAGTGACTGAGTTTGAACAACTGACCTTGCAGTTAAACCTGACCTCATGGTCTAATGCTTATCCTACAGCATCACACCAGGACTCCAGTTTTATTTGTAAATGGTTCTTATTTGAAACCAAATCCAGCCTCAAGCAATATCAATGATAATGTGCAGTGACTACTTCAATTGGAGAGAAGCCCTTTGCCTCAGGTAACTTAGGCTCATCAAACTGAGTTAGTGGTTCTTGCCCAAGCTTGCAGACCAGCAGAAAATCAATCTGTAATCATATTTTCAATTCATGTTATGCATATATAGTGGTCCACTACTTTGCTTTTCTGTGGAAGTAGCAAGGATTCCTTACCTCAGGAGGATTTCCCATTAAGAATGGGAGATGTGCAGCTGAACTTTTAGATACTTTACTGTTATATTCAGAAAGAGCTGTGTTTAAAATATAGGCACACCAATCCAAATGACAGACTCAGAATGAGGAAGTAACTGGAAATAAATTGGCCGATATTGCAGCTAAAGAAGCCACTAGTAGAGAAATCCCAGAAAGTCATTCAATCCTAGCTGAATACCCTTTAAAAGTAATTAATACAGAAATTATTAAACCCACGGCCATCCCAAGACTAATTCAAAACCCAGATTTTGATTGTTAAGAGGATACCTGAAGTTAGCTTCTGTAACTGAAATGACAGAATGGAAAGCAGGCAAATGTTATTTTGATAAGAAGACTAGATCCTGAGCAGACCCAGAAATAGGGTTGTTATTATTAATGGAATACACACACCTCTGTTGTTAGCTTGTTTTTTTGAATTTAAGAAACAATGGGATAGAAACTTTGTTACATTTCTGAATAAACATTTTGGAGAGACTGCCACAGATCAGTTCACTGTTTATGTGATAGTCAAGACAACAAGAACAAACTTTTGCTAATGACTGAAGGGGCAGAACTAGATAATTACCTATACCCAGAAAGGACACAGAGAACAGTCTGTAGTATGTTGGGAATGGAAGTTGAGTTTACCTCCAACCAGTAATAGACCCTGAACATATAACACATGTTAAGTGGTACAGCCTACCTATGCACCAAAGATATGTAAATTGACTGTAACAGCAGATTTGGGAAAAAGAGAGATACACTTTGAATTCCAGCATAGGTCTTTGAGCTGGACCTGATGAAACGTTAGTCCTCCCATACGTTTACCTATGATCTTTAATTCCCATCAAAAGGATCTTTTCAGATGAGATAAAACTTAACAGAAAATTCAAAAAGTATTATTGGGGTTATTTTTTGAAACATGTAAATGAAGTGGTAAGAAGTTGTAGTATTTATAAAGAATTTAATCTGGGTAAAATTTATTCAACTCTTCTGAGTTGGAACCCCCTCCCTACAGGACCTGTGACTGAATGGCAAATGGATTTCATATAGTTTTCTCTAGCTCAGAATTATGAATATGCTTTGGTATGGGTTGAGGCATTTGCCTGTCCTAATTCCAATGCAATTTTTATTCCTGGAAAATATATTTCCTATGTGGAGTACACTTCATACCCTGTGTAATGATACAGCTTCTCATCTATCTCTGGTCAAATTTGACAGCAGTTTGCAACATTTTTCCTATTTTGCATAGATTGCACTGCCCGTATCATCCATAATCTTCAGGATTGGTTGTAAAAATAAAAGGATTAATAAAGGTTCAGATAGCTAAACTTACTATCTCTTTAAATCTAATATGGTCTTGTTGTTGTTGTTAGGTGCCATCGAATTGGTACTGACTCATAGTGACCTTATGCACAACACTGCCTGGTCCTAGGCCAACCTCTAAATTGTTACCTTGCTTGAGCCCATTGATGCTATCATTGCATCAATCCATCTCCCTGGAGGTCTTCCTCATTTTCTATGACCCTCCACCTTATGAAACATGATATCCTTCTCCAGAGACTGGTTCCTCCTGCTGATGTGTCCAAAATATGAGAGACAAAGTCTTGCCATCCTGGCTTCTAAGAAGCGTTCTAGCTGTACTTCTTTCAACACAGATTTGTTTGTTGTTCTGGCTATCCAAATTACTTTAATATTCTTGTCCAACACCATAGCTAGAGTGCATCAGTTTTCCTATGGTCTTTCTTTTTCTTTGTCCTATTTTCACAATCTTACAGGCACACCTTAGTCCTCAAACTGATACACTTGCTCTTGAATACACTAATTGCTGTAGAGTCATTTCTGACAACTCTGTATAAGGTTTCTGAGAAGCCGTTTGAACTGCTAACCTTATGGTTAGCAATCCAGTGCTTATTCTACAATGCCACATCAGGACTAGTGCAGCAGATTTGCCTAATACAATATGTCATTTGATTTCTTGACTGCTGCTTCCATGAGTATTTATTGTGTAGCTAAGCAAAACTAAGTTTTTTACTTCAATTTCTGTGGTCTATGATCTTCACCAGTCAGTATTTTAAGTACTCTTTGTTTTCAACAAGTAAGGTTGAATTAGTGCATATCACAGGTTGTTAATGAGTCTTCTTCCAATCCTGATATCATGCTCTTCTTCATATAGCACAGCTTCTAGAATTATTCTCTCAGTATACAGACTGATTAAGTATGTTGAAGCAATACAATCCTAGTACACACCTTTCCTGATTTAAAACCATTAGTATCCCCTTGTTCTATTCTAACAACTCTCTCTTGGTCTATGTGCAGGTTCCTCATGAGTACAATTAAATGCCCTGGAGCACCCATTCTTCACAATCTTGTTCATAGCTTGTTGTGATCCACACAGTCAAAAACTTTTGCATCGTCTATAAAGCACAAGTCAGTAAAGGTTCTGCTTTCAGCCAAGAACCATGTGATGTCAGTAATGATATCCCTGATTTCATGTCATCTTTGGAATCCTGCTTGAATTTCTGATTCTTCCCTACTGATGTGCAGTTGCAGCCATTTAAAAAATTAGCTTTAGCAAAATTTTACTTGTATATGATATTAATGATATTGTTTGAAATGTCTGCATTCTCTTGGGTCACTTTCTTTGAAATGGGTGCAAATATGCAGATAAAACTGCTGAAGAAATGGAAGCACAAGAGCAAATCTTGACTTCATTGGCCAAAGCAGTACTAAATAATTGGTGGTGGTGGTGTGCTGTGGAGTCAGTTCCAACTCATAGTGACCTGCATAGAGTTTCCAAGGCTGTAAATCTTTATGGGAGCAGAAAGCCTCATCTCTCTCCTGTGGAACAGCTGGTAGTTTTGAACTGTTGATCTTGAGATTAGCAGCCTGACTCAACCACTGCTCTACCAGACCTCCATAAAAAATCAATTGGTTTTCACTTTTTTATTCTCCCAAAAGGGTGGAATTTGTGCTATAACTTATATCTCTTGTTGCACATGGATAAGCAACACAGGAGAAGTAAAACAAGATATATAAAAATTAGACACCAGGCACCATGGTTGCACACTATAATATCATTGCATACATCAGACTTGTTTGGTTGGCCACCATTAAAAATAGGCACATGGGTTAGGTCATTTTTATCAGACACAGTGATATTTTAATTAGCTTTCTGATTGTAATAAGCATAATTAGACTTAACTTTTACTGTCTTACATGTATTAAGGAGAAAAGGATGGCTTGGACTAAAGTGATGCATGTACTACATCACTTTGTTGTTGTTGGCAAGTGTCCTTGAGTCGGTTCTGATTCATAGCGACCCTGCACAGGATTTCCAAAGAGTGGTTGATGAGTTTGAACCACCGACCTTGCAGTTCAAACTCATCTTGCTGTCCAGTGCTTATCTTACAGAGCCACACCAGGACTCCTACATAACTTGAGTGTTGTAAAACATGATGTGTTTGATGAAGAAGTCACTTGTGTTTGAAGCACTAGTGAAGAGCCTGATGGTGAAGCACAGTTGTTCAATTATCCTTTTTCCATGCTCATTGGACCTATGAGGAGTCCTAATGTGGTGCTGCAGGTTAATTCACTGGACTGCAAAGTCAGTTTGAGAGGCAAGGTCTATGGGTAAAGCTCACCAGCCACTCCTCAGAAATCCTATACACTGTCCTTATGAGTTAGAATCCACTGGAAGACACTTAACAACAACAATGGTCCTGTGAAGAACCCCTGACTATTGTTTCTGCAACATTGCGTCTTTGATCTATTGAAAAACTATCACAATTTGCTGTTTTTAGAGTATCTATAGAAGCAATCTACCTCTAACAATTTTTTTTTTTTTTTAACCTTTATATACTTTTGTTTTGTAGTGTTCTTTGGACACTGATAAAGATGTTTTCTGTAATATGTCAGTGTGTTTTCCCACCTTTCTTTGTTCTCTTTTTTGTTTTGCTGCATAAATCTTGTTGTTGTTTTTTTTTTTACTACTGTAACTTCATGGTAATTTCCACCTAAGACAACATAAATAAATAAATATATATATATATATTTGTGTTCTGAGATCTTAAGAAAATATATGTTTTTTCTCTTGCTTTATAGGTTTACAGTGATCTTCATATGTCTTTGTTCAAATACAAGCAGCTCTTCAAAATAAGGAAGTCAGTATAATTTTGTAATTAAGTGTTATCATTTACTACAAAGCTATTACACAGGACAACAATTGACAATTCTATGTCAGTTTAGATTCCCACATTACAGTATAAAAGTTCTATAAAAAAATGAATTCATCATATTAGAGGACAGAAAAATACTTACCTAAATAGATACCAGATGAATATTTGTCTGTGTTGTCATCAATATAGATTTTGCCAAGGATATAAAGAGGCAATCCTGCTATTCCTTGCACAATCAGCCCAAAGATGAAGAAAGTTGTATATTTTGAATGGAATAATGGTGGTCCTTCTTGGCAAATATTGGTAAACTTTGATGCTTGGCAAATATCTTTTAAAAAGATAACAATTATAATTTTGCAAAATAAGTTCAGTTACATCTACAACAAATGTACAATATCCTTTATCAAATAATCTATACATTAAGTGTATAATTACACCATTATGCTTTTTTCTTTTACTTTTTTTTTAACATTTCATTTACATTGGATATAGTAATACTGTAGTCAACCACATTCTCTGAAAACTGTCATGGTAACATAAAATTGGGAGGAAGACTAGAAAAGATACACATATTATAAATATAAGGAGCTCTGGTAGTGTAGTGATTACAAATCGGGCTGCTAACTTCAGGGTCAGCAGTTCGAAACTACCAGCTGTTCTGTGGGAGAAAGATGAGGGTTTCTGCTCCCGTGAAGATTTACAGCCTCGGAAACTCTGTACAGGGTTGCTATGAATCAGAATCAACTCCATGGCACATAACCACCACGATCACCATTATCAATATAATATGAGCACATTATTTAATAATTACACACACTTATGTACATCTTAAGTATGTATATATACATAGATATTTACACACTCATAAAACTACATGTTCGTCTTAAGTTTAATATCTAGTGTCCCTGACTTTTAACTCTGGCATAAAAATGTTTCTAATGTTCTGGATTATCTAAATAATCAAAAATTGCCTTCTAAATTTAGCTCTAGGAACAATCTGTTGCTCTGATTAAACAGTTACCCATTTTATATACAAAAACTTCTATAATACAGGCTCAGTCAGCATTGAAATGTACCAGTGATAGTTCAAGAAATATAATAAAATGTTTTCATTATATCAGATAACATGAAGTATTTTTGTGACTGCCAACTTTTCAGTTAGCAACCAAGCACTTAACCACTGTACCGCCAGGACTCCTTGTAAATACTTGTACATCAAATGATTGTTATTCAGTAAATTGCAGGCTCCTGATATGGTGCTGTTGTAGGTTAAGTACTGGACTGCTAACATATAGTCGGAGTTTCAAACTCACCAGCCACTCCTCAGAAATGCTATACAGGATTGCTATGAGTCAGAACTGAATAGATGGCATTTAATGACAGCTATCACACACAAAACATAAAATATGTGGAATCCACATGAAATAAATGCATAAATCCTGTTGATAGAAAGACTGTACTATTTCTACTCCAATAACTCCTATTGAGCACTTGCCAGCGTTTTTAATATGTATCCAGTAGTGGTTCCTAGTTTTTCACTCTTTCTGACCTAATAGAATGGAGGGAAGAAGAGGAATAACAGATACTATAAACATGTTTTGGAAACATCCATAATAGCTATATGTGGATGTGTGTGTATATGTATGGAACTGTTCTCATGACTTTTTTCACTGTTTCTTGCAATTTTAAGGTGCTAAAATAAGTAAATGTATTCCAACACATTTAGAAGCCTATGCATTACAAGTAACTGATGAAATGGTATCAGAAGCAGTGCTATGAAATTTCAAATTGCCTTCAACTGACATGAGTGGAGGAGTGCTGGTGGAACCGAAGGATGAGCACTAGACTTCTAACCACAAGGTCAGAGGTTTGAATCCACCAGCTGCTTCAAAAAAGAGAGATGAGGCTTCCTACTATCATGAAGATTACAGCCTCAGAAACCCTATGTAGAGGCACTATGAGTTGGAACCAACTCAGCAGCACCTAACAACAAGAAAGCATGAATAGAAGGTTCCCTGGTGGCACTGTAAAATAAGGATTGAGTTGCTAACTGTAAGGTCAGTGGTTCAAACCACCAGCAGCTCCAGTATGAGGTTGTCTGCTCCTGTGAAAATGTGCAGTCCAGGAAACCCAAAGGAACAATTCTATTCTGTCCTATATGGTCGCTAAGATTGAAATTGACTCAATGGCTGTGTGAGTAGCCAGAAGACTATGGAATAAATTGAGGGAAAATGAATACATTGAAAAAGTCATCAGATTTTAATATCAAAAGTACTACATCACAGGACAATCTCAATATTGAAATGGTAGAAATAATTAGAAAAGATCTCTCCTTTTTATGTGTCTGTGGATTCGTTTGAATCTGTGTTTATTCATGTATGTTAGGTCAATCTGTTGCACAAGACCTTTTTAAAGTGTTGAAGAGCAAAAATGTCAGCTTGAGGACTAAGGCGTGCCTGACACAAGCCATGGTATTTTCAGTAACCTCATATGCATGTGAAAGCTGGACAGTGAATAAGGAAGACCGTAGAAGAATTGACGCATTTGAGTTATGGTGTTGGAGGAGAATATAAAAGGTGCCATGGGCTGCCAAAAGAACCAATAGATCCATTTTGGAAGAATTGCCATCAGAGTGCTCCTTGGAGGCCAAGATGACCAAACATCGACTCTCATACTTTGAACATATTATCAGGAGGGACCAATCGCTGGAGAAGGATATTATGTTTGGTAAGGTGGAGACACAGATAGAAAGAGGAAGACCCCCAATGAAATGGATTGGCCAAGTGGCAGCATCCATGGACTCAAGCATGGCAAGAGTAGTGAGGATGGCCCAGGATCAGGCAGTGTTTCATTCTGCTGCACATAAGGTTGCTATGGGCCAGTACCAACTCGATGGCACCTAACAACAACAGCAACAACAACATGTATGTTGAAGTCAGAATGCAGTGATTAATTTTAAAATATTGATGTAAACATAAGGAATTAATGAAGATTCATAATATAGAGAGTCTTATAGTATGCTGTTAATGTTAAGCACCATTGAATCTATTATTACTCATGATACTGTATAGTGCTTCCCAAGAGTGGTTGGTGGGTTTGAACCACTGACCTTGCAATTAGCAGTCCAGTGTTTATCCTAGAGCACCACTCCAGGACCTCATATATTGTTGTTAAGTGTTATCGAATCAGTTCTGACTCATAGATACCCTATGTATGTAGTTTCCAAGGAGCAGCTGGTAGGTTTGAACAGCCAAGCTTGTGGTTCACAGTCCAGTTCTGATTCATAGCACTATACCAGAAGTCCAGGACTTCATATAACAAAAGCTAAAAGAAAAGTCCATAAAATAATTATCCTAACCTATTTGCTCTTTTCTTTCCTAGGCCCCTCTCTTATAGGAGAGCATACATGATAATGAGATGATGAAAAGATTGTCATAATTGTTTGTTGTTGCTAGGTACCATTGAATCAGTTCTGATTTATAGCAGCCCAATGCACAATAGAATGAAACACTGGTTCTGCGCCATCCTTACAATTGTTATGTTTGTGCCCAATGCTGCTGCCATTGTGTCAGTTCATCTAGTCCGGATCTTCTTCTTTTTAAGTGATCCTCCACTTTTCCATGTATGATATCCTTTTCCAGGGACTGGTCCCTCATTATAACATATCCGAATTATGAGACACCAAGTAGGGTCATTCTAACTTCTAAGGAGCAGTTTGACTGTACTTCTTCCAACATAGATTTGTTTGTTTTTCTGGAAGTCTGTGGTATTTTAATGTTCTTCTCCAACACTATAATTCAAATGTACCAAGTCTGTTACAGTTTTCCTTATTTGTAGTTTAAGTTTCACATGTGTATGAGGCTATCGAAAATACAATGGCTTGGGGGTCAACCACACAATAGTCCTCAAACTAACATATTTTTTATTTCTTTTGCAGAAGATTTTCCTAATGCAATGTGCCGTTTGATTTCTTGACAGCTGTTCGAATGAGTGGTAACTGTGGGTTCAAGCAAAACAAATGAAAACTTGGACAATTTCAATCTTTTGTTCATTTGTATATTATATAATATATAAGTCTAGATAGAAGGATTTTTGTTTTCTTCATACTGAAGTGCAATGCATAAGGAAAATTGGCATCTTTTGATCTTCATTAGTTCATATTTTGAGTTCTCTTTCCTTACAGCAAGCAAGATTGTATCATCCTCATACCACAGGTTGTTAATAAGTCTTCTTTCAATCCTGATACCACATTATCCTTCATATAATCCAGCTTGTCATACTATTTCCACAGCATACAGATTGAATAAATATGGTGAAAGGATTTAACCCTGGTGCTACTCTCCTGACTTTAAACCATTCAGTATCCCATTGGTCTGTTTGAATAACTTCCTCTTGGGCTATGTACAGGTTCCTCATGAGCACAAGTAAGTGTTCTAGAATATCTATTCTTCATATGTTAGCCTTAGTTTGTCATGATCCACACAGTCAAATGTCTTTGCATAATAAATAAGCATAAGTAAACATCTTTCAGAGATTCTCTGCTTTTGGCCAAAATCCATCTGACATCAGTAATAATATCCCTAATTTCACATCCTTTACTAAATCTAGCTTGAATGTTTCGCAGCTCCCTGTCAATATACTGTTGCAACCATTTCTGAATTGTCGCCAACAAAATTATATTTGCATGTAATATTAATGATATTTCTCAATGATTTCCACATTCCTTTGGGTCACCGATTTTTGTAATTGGCACAAATATGGATATCTTCCATTCTCTTGGCTAGCTGTCTTCCAAATTTCTTGGCATAAATTCATAAGAGCCTTCAGTGCTGCATCAGTTGGTTGAAAGATTTGAATTTGATTTCTATCACTTTCTAGAGCGTTGTTTTTGCCAATGACTCAAGTGCTCCTTTGACTTCTTCCTTCAGTATCATCTGTTCTTGATCATATGCTATCTCTTGAAATGGTTAAATATTGACCATTTCTTTTTGGTACTATGACCCTGTGTATTCCTTTCTACATCATTCAATGTTTTGCCTCTCTTTCTTCCTTCAAAATTTCAATTTAAGGCTTGAATGTTTTCATCAGTTATTTTACCTTGATAAATGCTGAGTGTGTTCTTCCCTTTTGGATTTCTAACTCCGGTCTTTGCACATTTCATTACAAAACCTGGCTTTGTCCTCTTAAGCTGCCCTTTGAAGTTTTCTCTTCAGCTCTTTCACATCTCACTTCTATTCATTTTAGCTTCTATACTTAACAGCAAGTTTCTGAGTCTCTTTTGACATTCATCTTTGCTTTTTCTTTCTTTCCAGTTTTTTTTTTTTTCAGTGATATTTTGCTTTCTTCATGTGTGATATTACCAATTTCATCCTAGATCTCCTTTGATCTTCTGTCATTGTTATCTAATAAATCTGTTCTTGAGATGATCTGTGAATTAATGTGGGATCTACTCAATGTCATATTTTGGCTCTTATGGACTTGTTTTAGTGTTTTTCAGCTTCAGTCTGAACTTACATATGCAAAATTGATAGTCTGTTACACAGTCTGCCCCGATCTAGTTTTGGCTGACTATGTAGATATAGAGCTTTTCCACCATTTTTTCCCATTGTTGTTATTGTTGTAAAGTGCTGTTGAGTCGGTTCCGACACATAGCGACCCTGTATAAAGTTTCTGAGGAGCAGCTGGTGAGCTTGAAATGCCTATCTTGGAGTTCAAGCTACTATGCAGTCTGGCGCACTAACCCACAGCGCCACACCAGAATTCCTTTCTTCCCATGGTGGTGGTTATGTGCCGTGGAGTCGGAACCGATTCATAGCGACCCTGTACAGGGTTTCCGAGGCTGTAAATATTTATGGGAGCAGAAATCCTCATCTTTCTCTGTGGAAGAGCTGGTAGTTTCGAACTGCTGACCTTAAGGTTCGCAGCCTGATTTATAACCACTACACTACCAGAAATCCTTTTTCTTCCCATATTGTTGTTAAGTGCCGTAAAGTCAATTCCAACCCATAGCATCCCTGTATAGGGTTTTCAAGGAGCAGATGTATTCTATCTAGTGAGGTTCATGGGTCACCTTTTATATTGCTTATAAGGGTATTTGAAATGAATAAGTTGTTTGTCTTACAAAATTATTTCATGTGATCTTCAGCATTATTTACATTGCCAAATCCATATTTTCCAACTACCAATCTTTATTTCCAGCTTCTAAATTGCAATCACCAGTAATTATCAATGCATCTTGATTGCATGTTTGAACAATTTCAAACTAAAGAAGAAGGGAGAATTCTTCAGTTTGAACATAACCTGTTTTAGAGGTTGGTGTGTAAATTTGAATAATAGAAGTATTAACTGGTCTTCAATATTGGCATGTGGATATTGTCTTATCACAGACAGCACTGTATTTCAAGATAGATTTTGAAATGTTCTTTT